TTTCCCATAAAGAAAGCTGTTCAACTAATAAAGTTTGCAAATTATAGATAATCCATACTTCTTAATTTTTAAAATGCTATTATTGTTTATAACTTTTATGAGAACATGCTTAAAAGTAAATGTCCTGCCAGTTTATTTTTAAAAGCTTACAGCTCTTCAGAAATTCCTTCCAAGTCTACACTCTATGACAGTGTAACTTGCTGGCAGGTAGTATGTGTCCTGAATAATCAATTTCTGCTTGGTATGCTATTATGTCTGATCTCTTAACTGTTGCATAATGACATTAGAAAACTGAACTGACCAAACTATGCCAAACTTTGATATTTCAGCTAAAATAATTTTACAACATCTTATTAAGCAAGAAGCAAGTAACAGAAACTCAATCATTTTAGTAACATTAGATTGAACTTTTTCCCTAATAGCAGGACTGAAAATAATTCACATACAAGAGGAGAATTCATAGCTTTACAACAGATGTGGGGATTCTAAATTCTTTCCCATTGAAAAAAAAAGATCCAGGAATCTTGAACCCACTAAACCATCTAAATGTTGGAGGACATGAACAAATTCAAATAAACATAGAACTTTGGAGCTCATTCCTAATAATTCCATCAGTTTACAATCTGAAATAAAATGAGTAAGTAAACACTTTGTCTTCTAAAATTCGTGCACCATTAAGTGCTACAGTTTCTCCAGCTTTGTTCAGATAAAACAGTAGCACTGTGGAGGGTGAGCTGGCCTCTCCCTCAGCTCCAAAGGGCCTGGTCTTCCTACGAGTCATGGTAGGGCAGGGGCCAGGCTCGGGCCTGCAGAATCTGAGCCTAGTAGGCCAGGTCTTGGTGGCCAAACTGAGTTAAGTTTAATGTGCCTTCATCACTAACCCATTAGCTGAGGTCTTTGGTACACATGCCTTCTTCGATTTAGGTTTGATTTTCATACTGTAACTGTATGAACTGTAATTGCATCTTTACTAAGTGACTCCAAATCCTTTCTGAAGCGAGCAAAGTAATGTCCACTTTCTTTTTTTTAAGACAGGGTCTCACTATGTAGTGGCCTTGAACACACTATATAGTCCAGACTGGCCTTGAACTGAGGGTGATCCTCCTGTTTCAGCTTCCCGAGTGCTGGTGTGTACCACCATGTCTGGCATCATTGCCCAGTCTTAAAGGGCAGAAGACCATTTCGTGGAAATGCTTTGAAGCCTGAAAAAGTAGATATAAATAATGTGCGGTATGACTACTATTAACTAATTGAGTAGTCTAGGGTAAGTCATTTAAACATTGAAGATTTTAGAAAAACCTTTTTAAATGAGGTGATTAAACCATCTCCTTCATCACTAATAATGTAAGTATACAAGTCTGTCCATTTTTTTAGAAATCTATTTTTCCTTGCTCTCAAATTTGGGGAGTCAGTCACAAAAATTACCAAGCATTTCACAAGGAAAGTTTGAACTGTTTTACAAATAACTAAAGGTAATTCTGGAAAGCAACAGAGCAACTTAAAAAAAACTTGTTAAAGTTGTGCAACTTTTTAAAAGCAATGATACAAAATTGTGAAAAAATAACATCCTTTATATTGCTTATTCCACAGAACCAACTTATTCAAATGGCTGAAACAATGTGCTACATCAAGATACATTTTATAGGAAGTACAATTTCCAAGCCAGAAATTACCAGGTTAAAAAAAATAGAAACCTTCATCATTACCTGGAAAATTGTGAGGGCTCTTTGGACAGTGTTTTAATGCCTGACAGTGTTTAATGTAAAAATTAGTCATATAAGAGTTCAGAAATTGCTAGATTTACCTGTGCTGTAATGGCTTTTGTATAATCTCAAGTAATCGTCTGCAGACTAACTTTTAAAATAGACTTCATTTATATTTCATATAAGAGAAACCATGCAATATTAAAGCTCATGTGTCTGATGTATTTCCCTTAACATTACAGTCTCAGGGTGCATCCATTTCCCTACAAATGACAGAAAGTAGGGAGATAGATCTTTCTCAGATGTGAAGGAGATCAAGAGATAGAGGAAGGAGGAAGGGGAAGGAAAAGAAATAGAAAATAAATTAAGGTGTGTTATGTACATGCACCGACTCCACACAAGGAACGTAAACAGTATGTACTGCAAACATGGACTGATACAAAAGTTAAAAAAGACTTCACAGAGCAGGAGATTCAGCAGTTGAAATGGATTAGGTAAAGAGAACATCCATAATGAGAGCCAGACCATCCCATCCCTGCACACTTGAAATGGTGAGTTTTATGGTACGCAAATTATATCTCAATTTAAATGAAGAGAAGGAAAAAATAGAGCATCCCAGGTGATGCCAGAAACCTGTGTTCTTCACCCGTGCCGTCTCCTGTCTCCAGAGCCCACTCTTCTGCTTCCTTGCTTTCTTCTTGCCTATGCAGCACCATGCCATGCTGTTATGGACCCTGGATTTCTTATGCACCCCAGGAGCCTATGGGCACAGGAAGTTGAACCTGACTTCCCGAATCACCCTCCCATTGATTCTCGGTACTTCCATTCTCCTGCTTCCTGTTCAACTCTCTTTGGGGAGAGGGAATTTTTATAACACAAAGTTTTAAGGTCCTGATAAACTCTCTGAGACAAAAGAAAGGGAGGGGACATTTGTCAACCACCTTGTGTCAGCTGTGCTCAATCTCTGTTATAGGTCACGATTCTTGCTCCCATTGTCCAGATGTAAATACCAAGACTCTGAGAGCTGTTCCTGTTCAGAGGAACAGCACTGTTCACTCACAAGATCAATTTATCTTCCCAGGACACAACCTGAAGCTGCTTACAGAATAGGACTAACCACAGTCAGAGAAATTTTTACTAAGAACAACACAAAGCTAATAAAAAGTGGCATTGCTTGGTGGTGCATTTGAACAAAATCACACTTCAAATAATCTGTGGAATAACATTTTCCATCCTAGGAGACAGGATGTTTATGAAGATGTGATCCCATAAAAGTACAAAAGAAAGGAGACACATGAAGACTAATTTTCTTTTTTGCTATTAAAAATAACATGCAAACCATTCACTGGGAAACTAGGCTCTGTGCCACTTTGGTGGCGCCCGGATTTTCCAGAACAAATGTGACAGTTTTCTGCTTTAACTGGGTTTGTATGGGGATCTACCCGCAATCCCTTCCTTCTCTGGAGAATAAAACCAAGCAAAGTTATTTCTAGTTGCATGTGTACGGGAAGGGAAGGGACAGCTGCAGAATATGGAGGCCTGGGTCTGGAGTTATCTTCTGGGGTGATCCTGACACTTGAAAGTTGCAAAATTATTGGTATTTCAACTACTGCAGACATTGCTTACACAACGTACCTCTCTGAGCATGCTTTCTTTTTCTATGAAATGGGGTTGGGAATAGCTTCAATGCTACAGGACTGCTGAGAGGGTTAGGACTTTGCTCATGGAAAGCATTAAGAATATTGCCTGACACATAGATAAGTTCCTGTTCAATAAATAATTAAAAAATAAAATTGAATATTACCATTCAAACGACTTTGAAGAAACAGCTTCATGAGGTTATCTCTTTAACTGATTTGTACAGGCTTATGTTAGGCAGAAAGTTATACATTAGAAGGCCTGGAGACAGGAGCTGGGGCTACTTAAAAAGCAAAGAAAACATGATGTTTTTTTCTTTTTACTTTCGCTTTCTTAATCATTAGCTATAGATGAAATCCACACAAACTTCCAAGTTTAGCTCAAGAGAACATAACATTCTGTGTGCTGATAAGGTCCAGGGCCCAGACAAAGCCCAGATCATGGGCAAGGGGTTGGAAAAATCTTCAAGATCTCATAACAAACTAAATGGAAACCATCCACCCTGAGAGTCAACAGGGACACAGTTCTCTGTGAACTAGGTCAACACAGCCCATGCTCCTTGTAAGAGAAGGATGAGTGTGGAGGAAGGAGGGGATGTTCCTTGGAAGACCCAATCAATCACATAAATATACTCTGCAGCCTTGTTTGGTACAACAGCAACTTTGGCACTTGCCCACCTTCATGCTTGAAGGTGTAATACTCTGTCTCCCTCTCTCTCTGCAAATCTATCATTTTTGCAATAAACTCTACCTATATTCTATATGATATCCTGTGTGTCTGGTCTGAAATCTTTCATCAAAGACATGAAGAATTGAGGTATGCTGCCGATTCCTTGCTGTGTTGTAACTTGTGGTGTTAGGATCCAGCTTCCTGGCAACACTTACATGAATTAGAATTTGGTAAAAACTAATTTTTGTGGGACTGGGGATTTAGCTCAGTGGTGCCCTTGCCTGCCTTATAAGCATAAGGTCCTGAGTTCGATCCCCAGTACTGCAAAAAAAAAACCCCAAACAACAACGACAACAAAAATCTAATTTTTGCATTGGATGGAAAGCAAATAGCCTGAAAACCCAGAAGAAAATGTCAATAAAGATCTCTTTTTGCAGGGAAATGGGTTAAAAATAGCCTTCCAATATTGATGACATTGCTCCAAATGACTGTGGAGGGATTTGAAGACACACATACTACTAATGTAGGGGACAGGTGCCCTGAGCAGATGAAGTAGAAAGAAGTGAAGAATGTTTGCTTTAGACCTTCAGGAGGGAGGGTCCAGATGGCATCTTCAATTACTTCTGTCCTGCTTGAAACCCCCACGTAACAAGGATTGCCAGGCCTCCTGGCTCTGCAAAGAACCCCTCTCAGCTCAGAGCAACAATTTAGGCTGTAACCCATTTCATAACCATGTTTCTCCTGTGAGCAGCAAAAGCTGGTTTCAATGTGTAGATATCAAACATTTAATTGAAAGAAGGATTTTTTTGTCTCTTTCTCTACCCAACTTTCTCATGTTAAGGGGCAGACCATGTGGTACTTCAGCATTCCCAGGGATACTTCCTACATGTCCCAGAACCTCTGGACGCCACTGTGTTCATCTCAACAACTGGAAGAAATACATCAGCTGGCAGCAACAGATGGTTTCCTCCGGAAACAGACCAAGCTTACCCAAATAGTTGTTACTCTTGTGCATCTCGGTGATGTTGATTTTTGTGGCTCCCTGGGGGATTTCCACGACACGGTGGTAGCCTAGGCTGGTGAGAGCATGTTTAAACACGCCTGATACCACCTGACAGCCCGTGTTGTCGCCTCCACACACCCCACACTTGTCCAGGACTTTGTCAGAACCCAGGTAGTCATCACAGCCGATGCTCTGCAAAGAGGTGGAAAAGAAAAGACTCTTGTAGCATGAAACAGGAGACTCCTGGGGGAAGACGGGAGAGCGGATGGTGGGAGAAACTGGTGGGATTCAAACTGCCCTTCCTCCTGCTCCTGTAGATAAGCAAGTCCATGCTGGTCTTCGCTTAACAGTATGCACAGAGTACCTATTTGGGCAAGAACCTTGGTTTTTAGTTACTCATGAAATATTCATTTCACAGGTAGGGTGGGGATTACAGACAATGCAAAAGATAAATAAAGTGGTGCCTTTAGCTATGGTTAAGTGATCAAGAAGGAGAAAAATAACACAGGGTAAAAGAATGGGCTGGAATTTATTTACGCCGGTTGGACAGTGAAGTTCTGCAAATCCCTATTGAACTATGGGTGGGTCAAGGATGCTCCAGGCTGGAAACTTCATATGAAGAATCTCTTTGGAACCCTGATAAGTACCACACCCTAACTGAGATAGGCTTCCAAGTCTTCTGTTCCCAATTACAGATGCTATAAACACCTAGCAAAATCCCCCCTCCCAATGTTCCCTGGCCCAGTTTCTTAGGAAATTAAATAACCTTGTTCGAGATCAGAATCTTCCCAGCTAACTGTGCCTCTGGAGAGTCGGGCAGCAGGAATGGTGCCCAATTATCCCAAGGCACATTTCCTGAAGCAGACGGCCAGAAAGAGCAACAAACAGGATGATAAGCTTCAAACTACTGAAGTGCTCTTTGTACAGTCAGTCTTGTTTAAGGGAACTTTCCTGAATTTCCCCCTAAAAGATCCTTCCCATGACTTATTTCAAGATCTTTTTGCTTTATCTGTACCACCCTCATTCTTGTTCCTGTTGGGAAAATTCATTTTGCATTAGAAAAAAAAAATGAAACTTTGGAACAGAATAGAAAGATCTTCATGGAATCTTTTTCCACTTCTGGAGCTGATTCTGTAGGGCTCATGATGATGTTTCCTGAATTCAAACTTGGGACTTACGGTCTAAGCAAAGAATTCTGTCACATGTCCCCGAGCAGATGGAAGTAAGTAGGATGTAGTTTGGATGATGAAATATTGAGATTACAGGATTATTCCCAGGGTTATGGGGATACAGAAAGATGCTTGAAGTCAGAATGGTATTTGAAAACCTGAAGCATATGTCTGATGACGCACAAGCTGGGATTCTAAGAGCAATCAGACCAACTCTCAGGGGCAAAGTGGTCAGCAAACTATTCAAAGACTACATTTGATTTTGTTAAACAACCCTGGATCTGTTCACGTGGGTCCTGCAGGTCAAATCCCATAGGCTGAGTCAGATCAAAAGGTGTTTATTGGGGCCCCTCCAACTTCACATTTGATTGATATCTTTCTGCAGGGGCTGCACTTCTGCATTATTGCTTCCATATTCCCATGTGCACATTAGTCCATCAATAATGGGTCTCTCTTCACAAATAACTTCTCTGTAAAACATTACTTCTGACAATAAGAGAACATCATCTCAATATGTTCATTCACATTCAATTAGTCTTTCAAAATGCCATGTTTGCTATGTAGTTCTCCTCCCTCAAATATTTCTTGCCCCTAGCCCATGCACATTTTTGCAGAAAAGTCTTCTGTGCACGGTTTGCATACTCCCTCTGCCTTGGGTTCTCCTTTCGCTCAAAAACAGGAAATGCCACCATCCAAATGGAACCCATGGTGCCAAAGCAAGATTCTAGCTGATTGAAGGAGGTGGCTGTGACATGGCTGATGGGGAAGACGGACGAAGACACTAATTGGCCCTCCCCACCTACGCTAGCAACAACTCACCCTCCTCTCCCCCCTCTTTCAATCTCTAGTCCATTCCTGCTCAGCCTGGACTCAACTTGTCCCAGACTGAGTTTGTTCTCATGGGATAAAGCTGACATGTGTACCAAGGCATGGACGTGGGAAAGAACAACGCATGCTCATTGACAAGGCTGAAGGGTAAGGTTGCTGGTAGGGATGAAGTAAGGCTGAAGAATTCAGCCAAATTTGTCAAGGCTCCTGTTTGCTAGGGTGAAGAATTAAAATTTTATCCTAGGAAATCTGCAGCCACTAGATATCTGAAGTAAGACAGGGCCATTCTCAGACCTGTTTCTGGATGACAACTTTGGCTGCAGTGTGAAGTGGGTCCTTCCTAGATGATGCAGGACATTTAGCGAGTCTCTCTCTCAATGAACAAGAGCCACCAATGATGAACCAGATGCCCCATCAGTCCTCAGCCCCAGCTCAGTCAGAATGGGACTATGAAGAAATTATTCAAATATGGACCACTTTAGACAACCAAAGATACAGATTAAAAAGCCATCTGACCTAGTGAATCAGGTATTATATTAAAATAGTCTGCACACTTTGGTGGATTCCTACCAGACTGCTTGCATGCATGGTCACTTTGGGTGAATCTAGACATGAAGAGAGAGGGCTATCCTGGTCGATATCCAAGTGTCCTAGAGAAGTGATGTCCTGTTTCCTTAGAGCTCATCCTGAGCTCTGCCCACAGATTGTTCCTCAAGGGAGAAGTCAGAAGGGTTGTGTGAACCCTCTTTGAAATGGGAGAGGAAACTAATGGAAACACTTTTGGGTGTCCCAGTGGCTAACCAGATCTCTGAGAGACAGAGTTGCTATGGTCTTACAAAATATCTCACATCTATTGCACAAAGCAAGAAGGACAGAATGAGGACTGGGAAGGCAACATGTATTCAAGATCTTTAGTTTTAGCTCTGAGGCCATAGGCAAACTACATGTGACAACTGTCCTTTCTCCTGCACAGTGCTGTTGTAAGGATCATACAATATAATGAAAGATAAGATAGATTGGCTGAGGAAGTTACCTTTGGGCTAGGACCTGCATGACAAGAAGGATCAGCCAGGACAAGGTCTAAACAGGTATGCATGTACTTGATCACTGATGTTGTTGAGTGACTGTAACAGGCCAGCTGGGAACCTCAAGCTGAATCAGACACAGGTCCTGCCTTTGGGAATTTAACAGGGGAGATAAAACACACATAGGAATAATCATAAGCTATTAAGCAATGAGGAATTTCTGCATTCTTCATGTCATGCTGGGACGGGATCAACTCTTCTTCAGAAGGTTGATAATTGATCATTCGATGCACAAAGTCCAGCGGACATTGCACTATCCCAGCCTAACTAGAGGAATGGGGATTTCCATAGGGTAAAGAGGGTTCAAGAGATACTCAGGACAGATACAGAATGAACAGGCCTTTGTGACCGGGGGGTTGGGAGGGGAGGAAGCAGGTTTGAATCTTCCTCTATCTCCCATTGTTCTCACCATCATCTTGTCTAATACTTGCATACTGTTTACTATATTCTGAGTCCTGCAAACATCTACTTCTCATTTATTCTTAAAAGCCATTGGTGAGATTGCTGAAAACTGTAGGGAAACTAAGGAATAAGATCTAGGTTAGGTAACTTCCCCAAGGCCATGCAGCTGGTAAAGGGGGACCTTGGATCTGAACCCTGGGTCCAAAGCCAAAGCCCATACTTTAAACCATTATATAAAGACTGGAGGGCAAAGGCTCAGTGGTCCCTCTGAGGGCCTAGCTTTGCTGGAGGAGTGGATGGTGGCAGTGATCCAGGTGCAGAGGACAAGTTTGAAGCACTACTATGAGGGAGTTCTGGGAAATGCCTGGAACTGAAGTGACTCCTGCATTCTCTTCTAGTATTGTGAAGGACCCACCACACTACGAATCTGTCCCACACTGGCTCTTTGAACATTCTTCTTTTTTTTTTTTACTCAGCAATGCTTTTATTATTACAAATCTGGGTGGCCTCACTACCACCATCACTCACACTCTTACTTTTATTTTTATTTATGTACATTTCTTTCCAGATTTGGTCTATATGCAAGAAAAATTTGTTTTTACATTTTTACAATCACGATGCATCATACCATTGTGTATTCTGCTTTAAAATTTATTTTTTTTTTTTTTTGGTACCAGGGATCGAACTCAGGACCTTGCGCTTGCAAGGCAGGCAGTAGAACCACTGAGCTAAATCCCCGGCCCCTTTAAATTTGTTCTTAAAAAAAAAAGCTTCCCATGGTGCTACCAAGTCTTTGTTGATGTCATTTTGAAGGGCTACATAACAGGCCCTGCCTTTTCTGTGGATTGACCTTTATTTGTTTTTTCTTTCCTTCCCTGTACTATTTTCCCCAAGGTCTTGGTGTGACAGCAACATGTAGGCTCTGGTAACCATTTCCTCCTCCGGGCTGGTTTTTAAGAGGCAACTCAGAAAGGACATGTGTGTAGACTCTGCTACGATTGTGCCACCAGCTTTGGACAGATTAATTGCCCAGGTCTCCTCAATGGGCTCCTGGGTCCCTTTTATGGGTCCCTTTTTTTTTTGTACCGGGGATCGAACTCGGGTCCTTGCGCTTGTGAGGCAAGCGGTAGAACCACTGAGCTAAATCCTCGGCCCTCTGGGTCCCTTTTAATAAACAATGATCAGTTCTGCCCCACTCTTCACAGGGGCACAGAAGCTCTTGAACATTATTCTTTACACACAGTGAGTAGGTATTTTTGCTCCTTTTTCTGTTGCATTAATTTTTTATTTTACAACTTTTGAAAACAGTACAGGGATTTTCACTGACCCTCTGCACAGCTTCCCCTAACGAAAGTATCTTACTAACTACAGTACATTGCCCAAACCATGCAGACCGCTGGCATCAGTACTATGCCATTAACTCAAGAACAGACTTTATTTGGATTTTGCCACTTTTTATATGAACTTCTTTGGGTGGACAGTTCTATGGAACATCATAGGCACAGATTATGTACTGTGTTATTTTCTTAAAGCAGTTCGTATTCTCCTCCAGCACGCCACTGTTTAATTGGTAAGTGCAGCTGATATCATTTAGAAGGAAAACCAGTTAGGAATGATGGCAGGAATGTTGGCTCGGGGTGCCAGGGAGCCTAGAGTGTGTTTGTGGCTCAGTCCCTGACTTCTCTCTGGAGATATGGCAAAGAGTTCCAGAACCCTCCAGATCTTCAGGGAATGGTGTCCAGAAAGGAACTTGACCCAGATTCTGGTTTGTGTATCAGAAGGCTGATCAACTGGCCTCTGATGGGGATGGCTTAATAGTGGTGAGCTACTTTCCAAACTTTTTCAGAGCAGCCACCAAGGGGTCATCAGAGAATCTTAAGGTGGGCACTAGAGCCTGCCATCTCCAGATTCTTGTACTGGCTTGGACACTTACGTGTGTGGTACCTTTCGATAGGTCGCGTTCTGAGCCTCCACTTTGAAAACTCTGTGGCTGGGTGGTACAGTATTTACCTCTTCAGACAACTGGGAGGATCAAACAAGGCAAACACGGAAGCTACTTAGCAGAATCCTGTAATATGGTGGCTTTCTGGAAAATTGTGGGTTTTATTATCATTATCTTCATTGGTTCGATCCTGTTTGGAATCTTACCCACCTCTAAGTGAATATCATCATCATGTAACCACCCGGAATTCCTCTATTTCTATTGCATTTTCTTTTATCATGCAGTGAGAAATATTCTTTCTCATTTGGATAAAGGCAGAAAAGCCTGGAAAGTCAAAAGAAAGCAATGGTTGCTCATGAGAGCATGACTCTTTACATGGCTTCCACACTCTTACTGCTCAAATGGTACCTAGTGAGAAAAACCAGAACGTATACCTGCTCCCTGGTCTACTTCCATTTTATGATTGTTGTTCACCATGTACTGCAGTTCAAAAGGGGTATTTTTTTTTTGTCTTTTCCTATTACAAAGGTGACTGGATAAATATCAGACATTCTTAGTGTTTTTTCAGGGTTGTTTTTTTTTTTTGCAATGTGTAGTAGGAAAATTTTGCACATTGCAAGCCATCATAGAAGAAATTGCTCAAGAATTGCCCCCAATTGTTTGCCAACATTAACCTAAATAAAATTTCCTGAGGGAAATGAGCAATCTGGATGACATATTTGGTGGTGAATTTCACAGGAGGAGGCCTCTGACCATCATGGTGGGGAGGTTGGTGCCAGGCGTTCAGGCAGTGGAGGTTCTGATTCCCCAATGGGAAGCAGATGTTTCTGTGTGTTCTCTGTAAACACATGAGACCAGGTAACCTCAGCTCGTTGGGTAGATGGCCCTGACAGGTAATACAACCTGGCTTAATAACCACAGTGTTATAACAGTGTGGGAGAATATGAAAATGATTTGGAGCTAACACCAATTTGCTTATAAATATGGGGAACTAATTTGTGGAAATACGTATGGCAGCCAAAACTTTTATTCATGACATTCTGTTGAAAGAAATCCTTTGTATATGATACGATATGATATGATATGATATGATATGATAGATCTCTCTTGTGTATCTGTTAGGGATGTAGATCAATACCACCTTCCTGGAAAGCAATTTAGCAATATATACTGCTTGATGCAGTAAATAATTCTTCTACAAATTGATGCTAAGGAAATGAGGCTAACAATTTTTTAGTATGAAGGACCTGATCACAGTATTATTAATAATAAAACACTAGAAGAATTCTAAATGTTCAACATGGGGAAACAGTTAAAACAATATACAGAAACACCCTGGGAAATACAGGATAGATCTTTTTTTCCCAGTTGTTATTCTCATTAAAATTGTCTAGCATTTGTGCTTGTATGATTAACCCTCAGTATTGTTCAGCAAATGTTTCTTAAGCCAACCCCAGCTTTGTGTCAACATAGTGTTAGGCGGGGCAGACCTGAAGGAAAAACAAAAATGCTTCCTCCTTAATCTAAATGAGGGATCAGAAAACTACACCTTTTAGGCCAAATCTGGCCCACTATCTGTTTCTATAAATAAAGATTTACTGGAACACAAACACTCCCATTTGTTTACTCATTGTCTACGGCTGTTTTAGGGCTACAATGGCAGGGCTTGGGTGCTATAACATGGACAGTGTGGTCCAAAAGGTTTGAACCATTCATGATCTGGCCCTTTACAGAAAAGAGCCACCAATCCCTGGTCTTCCTCAAAAAACACAGACTCAATCACATCACTTCAGCATGGCTTCCAATTGTTGAGAGAGATGAGCAGAGTCTGAGAGTAGCCGAGATTGAGGCTCAGTTAGATGCTTCCCAATTTACCTCCTTTGCACTCATCCTGTATCATCTATGCCTACTTTTATGTATTCTAATTGGACTCAACTATAAAACGAGATGCAAGAAATCATCACCTTCTACCACAGCAGTCTTCTATTTTTTTAAAGTAGGAAAAACATACTTTTCAAACAAAACTTCATGCAGAAATGCAGAATTTCTCTATATAAAATAAGAAAAGCAGGACTGCTGTGATTGAAGAAGGGCTGTCAGGGCTTGAAAGCCCAGAGTTTCACCTTCCAGACCGCTTTTCTTCCTCCTGGCTGGGTTTTCCACTCCAGCCCCACTGACATTTTGGCTCTAAAGGTTCTTTCTGAGGGACTGTCTGAAGCATTGCAGGATGTTTGGTAGCATTCCTGCCTTCTACCCATCACACACCAGAAGCATTCTTCCTTCTCAGCATGGTAAACAAAAATGCCCCAGACATTGCCAAAAGTCCCCTTCGGAGCAAAATTACCTCCCGTGAGAGACTTTAATTTATTCCACAGCTCATGGGACACCATGATATGTCCCCCCAGAAAGCCTTAAAACATTGGTCATTTCACAGATGGGCTGAAATAGTCTTGGTAGATGTCAAAGAAGCTAATGAGTGAATACTACTTAATTATCCAATTTTTAAGAATAGTTCTTTACCATCAAGCTTACCATTAACCCAGAGTTCCTTAAGATTGTCTTTTGGCTTAACTTTAGCAAAAGTAGGATTATGCACTAGGAAAAGCATTGTTATTGGCACACAGTAGGAGCTAAATAAGAGTTTGTTGAACAAAAGAGCAACTGCTGGAGAAATCAAGAGATCAAAGTTATAGGACCAATTTGCTCTTTGAACTGCACCATCTCTAAGGTCCTCTCTGATGCCAAATTGTTTCTTGGAAAAAAGAAAAATATAAAATCCCGATGTGAAGAATCCTGCCATGTATAAAGTCTAGGAAATTTTCTTTTGTAGACAAAATTCAATTGGAACAAGGAATCAAGGGGAAAAAAATTGACAATGTCATTTATTTTGAAGAGAAGAAATGGTCCATGGGATAAAAGGTATTTTGGCTTCCTAAATGAAGGCAATTATGAAACTAGTGATCTGCTTTTAATCAAATGTATGGTTGTCACATTTCAGTACCTCATCCTATCTCATTAGACAATAGCACCTTACCAAGGGACTGAGCTGGAAGGAAATCTTGGCTCTCTTGCAGGACAAAATTGAGTAGGAGTCAACTCCAGGAAGTTTACAAATGTGAAGAAAGTAGCCCAGACATGCAAGCTCATCTTTGTAAGATAATTACTTCCCCCTTCCCACTAGGGTGGTCCTTTCTTAGAGGGGAGAGTACCCCAAACTGTAAAATTCTAATGCTTTGCTTTCATGATCCTTCTTCCTAAATGATTATAATGGGGAGGAGAGAAGAACATGGAGAAGGCCTGACAATGATACTTGTTCTATGCATATTTTTGTGTAGAACTGTAGACCTCTCTGGACTTCTACTTGACCTTTAAGATCTAAGGCTGTATGGGGAAGTATATTTAAAGAGGCCATAAAATATCTGGCCAGACTGTATTGTAAATTTTTAGGGTCCTGGGAGGATCCAGCACCAGGAAAAATCCATGCAGAACAGTTCTGTGAAAGGTGGGTTTGGGCTGCCATGGGATCAGGACTAGAAAACTTCCTGCAGAAAGGAGAAGAGGGACACTGTTTCCACTCCAGAGGGCCTGCTGAGTGCCCATAGCATGAACCCACAGGTGTGGATCCCTTAACCAGAGGCCCTTAGGGGACTGGTGAATCCTGGGGCTATAGGACAATGACAAAGACCCATATGTGCATCTTTTGTCATTTTTGTAACACACAGACTACTTCCAAACGTGCCTGTTTGCATTTCCTCCACAAGATGGCACCTATAACCCTGCACAGAGAGATAATCACCTAGACAAGTAGTTTAGGTACAGGAAACGGTGGCTACACATTTAAAGGAACAATGGTCAAGAAACACAAGAGGCTGAGTGGACTCTGAGATTTTGGTTGAGCTCCTATTCATTGTGCTCTTATGTTCGAGCTTCTGCCACGTTCTTAAGCTATGATTCATTTCTTAAAATATTTTCATGGAATGTTAAAAAAAAAGTGAGCGGAATGTTCAGGCCTTTTATTTCCAGAATATTTAAGAGAATGCTTAGAAATCTGTGTAAATGAGTTACAGCCCAGGGGGCTGTGTGGGCTGTTTAGATGTCACTGGGTGATCTCCATGGATAGCCCAGAGGACTGGCTGAGTGTGTGGGATGAGATGATGAAAGAAAAATCAAAGCACAGGGTTTTCCATTCCCAAACTCTTAAGGGAATGGTGTCCTGAAACGCTGTGTTCAGAAGATGTGTGGCAGGCACAGGCAGAGACTGGAGATGGAAGAGACAAGGGCTGAGACGCCCACGGGCAGCCACATTAGGATGGGTACAAAGTGATGGGGGCCTGGACCACAAAGCAAGGGCGAGGGCACAGGAAGGACCAACAGGACTGAGCATGGACAGGCTGCTGCAGGCAAAGACATGAGGAAGACGAGTCCGGGGCCTGGGACCTGGGAGTTAGTGTTCTTCAGGTAGAAGCTTCACCTGGAGATGGGGGAGGGTAGGCCTTTGATGGAGTCACCTGAGAGGCACAGCCATTTGTTCAATGAGTTCAGGTACTCTCATTCTGTCCCTCTCCCTCTTTCATTGGCATGTTCCTCTAAAATTGGAAATATTTTTATTTTAGCTTTTTGAACGGGAATCCTTCTAATGTATATTTTATTTTCCTCATTTTTTTAAAAAAGCATGAATAATAAGCATTGTTTTATCTTTTCTAGCTCCTTGTTACTCAAATGTCATAATCTAGAAGCTTCTTAGACATATTGGGCCCCATCTTCAGCCTACTAAGTCAGAATTTTCATTTCAACAGCATCTTCAGGTACCACAATTCCTGCGCACTGCCAACTTTGAGAAGTGCTGCCTAAGATCCAGGGGGTGGCAAGCTTCTTTTTACAGAGCCAGGTAAGAAATATTTCAGATTTTGGAGTCTATGGTCTCTGTTGCAACCACTCAGCTGAGCTACTGGGGCATGAAAACCGCCATGGACAGCTGATGTCTGTGGCTTTTTCAATAAAACTTTATTTATAAAAACAGATGATGGTTGGATTTAGCTCCTTGCTGGATTTGCAAGATTTAGGGAAATCTACAGCTTTCTACAGTGTGCTGATTCCTGCCTTGGGTGGTTCAGAGATGTTCTTAGGGGTGAGAGATTGTCAGGCTCTTCATTTAAGTGGTTCCATCTACCAGAGGGACTCGCTGTTTTCCCTCTGGATGCCGGAAGTCACTTCTTCCAGCAGGTAGTTCCTTTTCTGACTTCCTAACTTATTGGCTCTTATCCTCTGGAAATAGCTAAAGAGCAGATAGAATACTACAGAACTTTCTGGACTAAAAGACTTGGGTTTTAATACTGGCTGTGCCACACCCTCCCTGTATGGTTTTGGGCAAGTTGCTCACTGGCTCCAAGAGTATAACTCCTTGTGTTAAAGTGCTGCTACTCATAGCCCTCTGCTTACTGTGAGGCTCTGGGAGGATGAAAGGGGTTGGTAAATCATAAACTGCCCTCCAAATCTGAGCTGCTATGACTCATCTTGGTCACTCCGTACCTCGAACCCATTATATTCTAAGCTAGTGCCGGCACTACATTCCTTGTCTTAGTTCCCACAGCAATTCTCTTTGGTAGAACTGAAGGCCTCGAGAGACGAAGCAGCTTAGTGCTTACTAAGTAGCAGCGCTGTCACCTTCCCCTGGCTCTGTCCGCCACTGGCTCATGCACTGACACCCATCAGTATGCACATTTTCAGGTCAATGAGCAGGAAGATGTTGTGTTATTTCATGAGTCTTCTGAATGCTAATTTGAAAAGGATTCTTTCTCTTTTTCAGATGCATCCTGGAAGACCAAAGCTGCTGCGATCTGGGATCATTTGACCTTTTAGGTCACTTCTTGTTTATGGTGTGTTTTTTCTTCTTTTCTCAAATTGCACTCCAGCCCCCAAATGACAACCAACTCTCCATCCAGTCAAAACAAAGACAATACAAATGATCACCCTTTGGTTTCCAATGGAAATTAAAAAAAATGCTTTTGGAAAGTTTTGCCCTGAGAGATTTTTAATGGAGACAAAGGTGAGAGAAGACATGTTCACAGTCTTGGGGACAGCAGGAAAGGCTCTGGAACCTCATCCCCTCATCCCTTGGCTTCACAGATGAGGAAACCAAGGCTCAGGAAGCAAAGTGACTTTTCCAAGTTGGTGAGAGAGGTCTTCCTACCTAGAGACGTCTTCTCACGACACTGTGATGGCCTCCTGTTCCTTGGAGGAGGATTTTATTGTTTTCTCACATTAAACAATCTATCTCTTTCCCCTTTTGCTTCCTTAAGTCCCTGTGACCATGTGAGAGTGGTTTTCTCCACCAGAAGAATAATAGCAACTGCTTTTAGGGAGCAAAGTGTCATTGTGAAAATACTTGGATAAACTGCCTGGAGTGGATGATGAACTCTGAGGTCCAGGGGGTGGCAGAAACCAAGGTAACAAGAGATAATGACTAAACTGAGTAGGGCAACATGAAATGGCCTGATTTTGCTTCCAGGGCTGAAGAGAGAGGAAAGGAACAGAGAAGGGAGACAGGAGATGGTGGAGGGCCTGAGAGGCAGGGAGGACTGCTAAGACTGACCTTGAATCTGAAGTTGACTTGCTGTGATTTAAACCTCTTCTGTTACCAGCTCTCCCAAATCTTCACTGGAATGGTACATCTAGGTTTATACCCAGTTTTCTGCCTTTAGATCTCTTGGTTTAGATTCCTTTCACCTCCTTTCTATTCCCATCATATGAACAAAAAATTTATCTTCTGTGGCCTCATATGTTCAAAAGCCTTCCTTGGGATACATGGCCACACTTCCGGTGCACCCACACTTCTGGGTGACCTTGTCCTCGAGGGCCCTAGTTTCCCTACGTGTAAAATGAGGGCGATAAAGGATAATTTACAATCTTTTGTGAGGCTTAAATGAAACACGTGGCAACTGCACCTAGTTGAGAACTGGAACTGAGTAAGGATAAAAAAATGCTGGCATGCCCTTCGTTCCCTTGGAGCTGCCTCTGCCTCCCTCCACACACCTTGGCAATCTGGCCATGGGATCCTCTATCTCATGAAACACACATCCACTTCTGCACCAAGAGAGGAGCCTGGCCTGTTTTCCTTGGCCTCTTCAACCTCACTTCTATTCACACATGATTCTCAAGCCCTGTTGGAAGTCGGTGTTGTAATTGGGAAGCCACTGCAAGGTATTTAAGTTTTAATAATGTTCTGGGATGATGGCAATTAGGACTTCCGGGGAATTTTTATAACTGTTACCTTTCTCTCATTCTGTTTTTTAAAAAAATGTGCTTGCTTTTTTTTTTTTTTAAGCATTTTTTGGTTTGTTTTGGAGGCAAGCTATGGAAAGCCTCAAGGATGGATCAAGGGTTCTGTTCATTTTAGGAACAGCAAGGGTGGCTGTTGGAAGAAGCCCGTAGCCCGGCATGTTGGATGACAGCTGTAGATGAATTGTAAATGGAAAATGCAAGGATTTGAGCATCTCCTGGGGATGCAGGCAGTAGGAAGCCTCTGGAATATAAGTGACAGTTCTTGGCCAGAGCTCCCACCATTTGCTCACATATGTTATCTTGTTTAATTCTCTGAAACCTTGAGAGGTAGGAATTACTATCCCTATGTCACTGGAGCCCAGAGAAGGTAACATGTCAAAGCTGCCACAGAAGTGGTGATGGTGGGTTTGAAGGAAAGGGCCTTGTGATTCCAAAACCCAGGCTCCTTTCTTTTGCTGGTGGCACAGTTCCTTAGAACAATGGAAACTCTTCTTTACCTGGAAGAATAGGGCCTGGTAGAGGGCTGACCAAGGCACACATATACTTGGTTATATCTTGGGCTGCTTCTTGGCTTTCCCCAGAACCCTTCCCCATGTGCCCCACTGCCCAGCCAAGGACTAACTGAATTGTTTCAGCCTCTCCTACAGCAGTTTCCCTTTTTTTGCAGCTCCTGGAAACCCTGTACATCACACACTCAAGTGAAAGGACCTCTATGCCATAACCCTTCCTCTTATAATGAATTCCTAGGTCCAAAACTATGTGCTGAAGTAGATCTTTTTCTCATTTGTCTCCCTGGGAATGGAAACTGTTGGTTTACTAAACTGGGAAATATTATGACTCAAGGAAAAACACCAGGTTCCTTGGGAGATGTTATTATCCAACCCAAGAACTTGTCTGTTGGGGCTAGAATGACTAAGACATTAAATAAAAGATAATTCCTTCTTACTCTCTCTCGTCAACCATAGATGCACCCTATATGCATATTTATTTTACTGAGGAATGAAGACATTGCGCTTCATGCATTCTCAGAAGGAAGAAATTTGGCTGAAATATTTAGGCTCTTTCACGCATCTTTTGAAGGATGGTAAAGAACAGGGTTATCTGTCAAACTCAATGTGTTCCATAATAATAACTCAGGTGGCAGCCAGATGAATAATGCTCATGTGGGCAGACTATTTCCCTTCTTTTGCAACTGTAACCCAAAAGGTACAGCATTGGCAGACCTGATGCCTACACATGGCTTCCAAGTGACCATACTAATGATATACACTTGTGTACATAAATATTTAGGACATGCAAACCAGTTGGATAAACACTGATCCTTCACCTTTTGTGGAACCTTGAAATTCTTAATTTTTACCAGTCCCCTCTTTAAGATCCAGATCATATTTATGAGCTTTTAAATCATGCCCCCAGATGTGTAAGTGTAAGAAAGGCTAAATGTTGTGGTTTCAGGTAATCTATCCTGCATGTGGCTGGTGAAATTTATTTTCCCAAGATGCTGCTGTCATCATGTCATTCCTCTGGCTCAAAAGGCTTCCTGATGTCAGCTGTCATTTAAACAGGCTGATTATTTCCTCCCAGGCATCTGTTTGAGCCCCTGATTTCAGGTGGAAAGGTACCTGGGCCTGCAGGAGTTATAAGAGCAAGCTTACCCCAGCTGTGGATAAATGAGTGAATGTAGAGGTTTTGAGAATGATCCAGTGTCCTTACACTCTGACAGGAAAAATACTTGATTAGAGTGATAATACATATTAATTGGCAAGAAAATTATTAATTTCTTATTCTAAATGTATGAAGTTGGTTTTATGATGATAACTGGTGGTTATGTTAATAAAAAGCATCTGATACACGGGAGGAATGCAATGCATATTATTCTTTATTTAAAGTCAAGTTAAAGATAACATAGAGAGCAAATTCAAAGAAATGCAAACAAATGATATTCATTCCTAGTTTAAACAATAGCTGCCTTGGAATGTTATTTAGCAAGAGAATGGGCTATGTATACTTTGAAGAATGCAGAATGGCAGCAAATATGGAAGTAAAAAGAAAAGTATCTCTCGAGCAGAGTAAAACAAACCCTAATCAAAGAGCCAGAGCCAGAGCTAAAAAGAGCCACAGACCTAGTTTGAACAATTGATGGGCTTTAGGTCACTTTGGGCCCCACAAGCAAGGCTACACTCATTGCTCAGGTATCACCAGAGGTGTTCATGAGCACCAAGAAGAACAACAGAAAGACAGGAAACTGGTATTTGTTGAAGATGTAGGTGAAAATATTTACTAGAGGAAGAAAGAGGTTAAGTAACTTGCCTGAGGTCACAGAGCCAAGCACCAGGATCTGAACCCTAAACTCAAAGGAGAATTATAAGTGCAAGTCAAAGATTAAGGGGGTGACCAAAATAGGGAAGATGGTGAACAGCAGATGCAGACAAGCGAAGAGGTGCAGTGAGAATTCAGACAAGAGTCATTTCCATACCAGCGTGACTGTCCTCATTATACTCAGGGGGAAGCCCAATTTCCCAGAGGCCCTTTTTGTCAAGCGCTGCCTGCAGTCCTGGCACTAACGCCTCTTCCAGCCATGTCCTCCTCTTGCAACAACAGAGTATGATGAAGGTTTTCCCCCCGCATTGCAAATCCATGGTAATGAGACTTTAAATTTCTTTGGACAGCTTCTATTTCATCTGGTGGCTCATTTTGCTGAAGGCCTCCTCCAGAATGTCCTTTGATTATTAGAAAGGGAATCTAAAAATCATGGCATCAGGGGTTTGCAGCCAGGATTTTCCCAGGACCATCTTTGGGTTGATCTGAATCACCCTAACAACTCTGGAGCTCTCCCCTGTAAAGTCTAGGGTTACTCTCTTTGAAGCTACCTTCCGGACATAATAAGGGCTGCAAAGAAGTCCTTGTATCATTTCAATCTGTTCAACTTATATTTACAAATAATGATAGGAGAACAGCCTGTTCCCTTTAAGATAAACTCCAGAGATCTTGAGCAGGAGACAGCTATAAGTCCGTAGTTTAAATACAAGCTGCTGTAGAATATTGACTTTGAATTGTCAATGCCTCTGGTGGGTTCTGTGAGTTACCAAGGGATTGCCCTTGAGCTGAGGAGTGATCTACACTGCTAGAGAACGTTACTGGAAGTGACTACTTGAGCACTGGAAAGTCCCTGCCTCAAAGAAGTTGGTAATGGTGATACTGATACAAAGTGATTCAGATGGTAACTAAGCAAAATGATTTGTCTCCTTTGGTTAGCTGGAAAATCATGTCATCAGCAGAGATAAGGATGTTTATCTGCCTCTTTGCTCTTGTTCGGGTATCAAATTGAAACCAGGTTAAAAAAGGTAAATTTCTCCAAAACCAGGTAAATTGAACTAGGTTAACAGTTTTTTTTGATATAAGCTAAAATATCAGGAGAAGAGAATACAAACAAGGGTGGCACTGAGCACTGACCTGGCTGGCCATGAAGACTGATTTTGGATTTCCTTGTAAATTTGGAACTTACAGGTATCAGTGTGTGTGAATTAAAACCACTAACTCTCCTCACTGTTAAAGGCCAGAGTCCTCTATTTTATACAAACATCACTAAAATGGAGAGGAGAAAAAAATAAAATGAACTTGAAACAAAGGACATCAATCCTTTTCAGAAAATACAACTGTGAAATTTCATTTTCTAACAGATTTCTGTAATGAAAAGAAGAAAAACTATTTGTAATATAGAATGAAGGAAAGTATTATAATAAAGCCAGGCTTGTTGGCAAGTAGTCCCAATAATAGAATGCTAGAATCCCTAGATCTCTGAGTAGAAGAGAACATAGAGGTCATCTGGTCTACCAGGGTCAGTTAGCCCTGGGTGTCAGCTCAGCTCTGCTCTTTCCTGGTGACACCTTGGAGCCAATTTAACTTATAAGATGTGTTGGCTAAGCAAGAGAGATGAGTGGCTTTTAAACTACTGCCAGATTCCTCTGTAATGATTTCATGGTCTTTAAAACATATTCTTGAAATATGAAGAAACATTCATAAATACTATATATATTTTTTCTTCAACCACAGAATCCCCTGAAGTGTATAACACACTGGACAACACTGCATTAACTAATTTTGATACAGGACAAACTGTTCCTATTTATATTTAATTAAGAGACTACCTGTCTCCCATGTACATTGTGAACTGAGAACTCCTCAAGAGTTGCAAGCTGAAACAAAATTCAGAAATACATTGAATGCCAAAGCCTCGAATCCATAAATTTTCTATTTGGCAAAGTAGCCACACACTCCCTAATTGGTTATATAATAGTTATATGTTAATGTTTTAATTAAAAATTAATTCACACTAATAAAACAAAAAAGTGGTATTTTAAAAAACTGTTTTAAGTATTGGGATGATCCCTACTTATTCCTTTGGAAAAAAGAGCACTCCTGCTAAAACATGTGGAAACACTAGGATTGGATGATTTTCCATGTACATAGCAGGGTTTTGTTTTTTTCTTTTTGGAACTGGGAATTGAACTCAGGACCTTGCGCTTCCAAGGCAGGCGGCAGCACCACTGAGCAAAATCCTTGGCCCATGTACATAGTACTTTTAAAGGTGCTTTACTGTATAAATTAACTCACTGAATCCTCCCAACACCTCAAGAGGTAGGTGAAATATCACCTACTGTTATCCATTCTAGAAATGAGGAAACTGAGGCACGGGGAGTAAATTGTCCAAGATCAGCGCAGTGTTGAACAGGAATGGAATCCAGGCAGTCCTGTTCCAGAATCTGGACTCTTCATGTCAACATTCAGTCCATCCTCAGTGCCCACCACCCCTCACTTTCCAAGTCCTTCTTGTTCTTGCAAAAGCCTCATCGCTCTAGTTTTGTTTGACTATCTCCAGTGACAGGGAGCTACCTCCCTGCCGAGGAAACAAATTTATCCCTGAAAGGCTGACATGGAATGAAATCTTCCTTTCAGGCCCCTGGAAGCTGCTCTCCAGCTATTGTCCATCCTGCTTTCTGTTCTACACTCTGGGGACTTTTGGACAATGCTCTCTGCCATTTCCTCTAATATATTCCATTTCATTTTGATGTATTTGCCTGAAACAATCTTATTTTGACATGCTTTATTTTGAATAAGAAAAAATAATGAACATAAACATGAATGTTTTTCTGGCTTTCCTCTTGCTACATGTTATCTAGAATTGACTTGACCATCTTATAAGAGTTGGAAAATATGAGTATGTAGGTATTGACAGTGAATTAGGACTATGCAAAGCTATAAAATAAAGATCATAATTTTTGTTGATTAATGATTCAATTTAATTGCACGTTGTTTAAAATATTTAAAACACAACATCTGCCTCATTACATTTAAGTCTCAAGCAAAGAACATGCAAAATTTGACTCTGTATTCCATTCACAATCGGCACATATTCAGTGATAATAATTCTTGAATTAATTACAATTCTCATGGGTACAACTGGATTTCCATTCCAACTCACAGAATGCCTCATGGGCCTAAATCCTCCTGGAGTGGAATTTTGTGGTTTGGTGCATACTGGTTCTGCATTGCAAATGGGGCATTTAAATCAAAGAATGACACTCAATTAACTTATGTGAATGTCATTCTCAAGTTAGATCTGGCTTACTGGAACTCCCCCCAGGGCTCATGGAAACCACCAGGATTTGTTTTAAAACTGCAGTTTACAAAATAAATGAAAGTATGAATCTTTTTTTTCTTAGAAAAGGGGTTGGTAGAATGAACTTCTGTTAGATATTACTGATGTTCTATATCTGGCTCCTCGACTCCTGGGTACATAAGGGATCACAATTCCCCATTCCTGTGAAGTTCTTTGTGGCCATGTAACTGGCTCTGGCCAATGGAATATGAGTGGGAGTGGCCTGTGTCACATCCACATTGAAACATTTAATTGCTAGTGCTCACTTTCCAACTCTTCCTTCTGCTGGAGCAAATTTTGGGTGAGATGGCAGCTTCGTAAAATGGTGAAGTCTCCAAAAGCCCAAGTCCCTGAGGGCCCATGATGCGGAGGGCCTCAAACTGCTCTTTATGGACTAGTGTGAGAGGGAAACCTTTGTGTTAAACCATCAATATTTTGTCATGGTTGTCATTAAAGCATAATGTAAACTATTCTGATTATACAGGACTTCTGCTTAAATTCTTGAGCCTACAGTCAAAACTTTTTGTAGAATTTATGCTAAGTAACAAAGAGTAGACTATACTAGTTTCTGGTATTTGGTGAAACCAAACTATGCCCTGAATTTGTTCTTTCAAATGCCAAAATACCAGTGTTCTGTTGCACTGATATGAAGTCAGTTCAAACTCTTGAGATTATGACAGTGGTTTAAATTGAAACTACTTAAAAAAGTTTTCTTTATTATATAGAAAAGATAAACTGTTATCAGATATAGAGTGGTACTTGCCAATTCCATATGCAGTTTATGACTTTTATGTACTGCTTTATAGTTTTACCTCTTTTAAGGGTTCAGAATTTACTTCTCACTCAGTGCTGCTGGGCTGAGAGTCCTAGACTGGAAAAGCCCTCCACTTTTCTTTTTTTTTTTTTTTTGGTACCAGGGATTGAACTTGGGTCCTTGCGCTTGTGCAGCAGGCGGTGAAACCACTGAGCTAAATCCCCAGCCTCCACTTTTAAAATATACACAACACAAAACTTACTATCTTAGCCAATTTTAATGTACAGCTCAATGGTATCGGATGCCTTCATAATGTTGTGCAACTGTCACCACCACCCATTTCCATAGCATCTTTCCATCTTGTAAACCTAAAATTTTGCACCCAGTAAATGATAATG